CTGACCCTGCTCCAAAGGGCCGTGAGAGGACAGAAGGACCCCAGGGCAGTGAACGGACAGACAGAAGTACTTCAGGGCCCCCAGCAAGAAGATATCCTTGTTCAAGCAAGGCTCCTTCAAAGGAAACTTGCAACACTTTCTCAATAGTAACATGTAGCAAGACAACACATTTAATTAATGACACACCAGATAGGTGCTGCACCATGCTCACCACTAGGTGAGACTCAACAGCAAATAACGGGACTGGCTTCCCTACAGTACCAGATGGGCTGTCTGCCCTCTTCAGTCTCTCGGTGAAAAACATGGGCATAACTGCACCAACTCCCTAAGCACAAAGAGCAACACGTGGCCAAGCAGATCCGTCCCAGTCAAGCCTGAGCGCTGTAGCCCTGATGCATAAGGAATAATCTCGGAGATGCCCAAGGACAAGAGACCCATTTCCAAAGAATCAACTCATAGAAGGGCTCTCCTGGACCCCCAACAAACCAGCTTTGTTCATGAGAGAATCCATGGACGCGAGAGTTCTTCGGTTCCAGCTCCAAATCTCACCACTTGGGGATCTTCCATTTTCAGGAGCTTTTCCCTCAAGTGCCTACATTGAAGGATCCAACTCAGAAAAGAAGGAAGGGCAGGACCCCCCTTTCTCCTGGCACAATGCTGAGCCAAGCCTGGGTGCCCTCTAGAGTCACCTGTTACCTCTTGACGCTTACAGTGGCACCCACAGGGCCACCTGGACATCGCCAGGGCCACAGGAGAGAAAGATACCTGTGCAGACAGGTCAGGCCTGCAGAAGCTGAACACTGTACCTCCCCTTCCAGATGCCCCCGGGTACAGACTTGTGAGAAGGATCCCTCCAACCCACCCTCCTCCACCTGCCACCCCAGTGAGGCATTAGCCCATCTGTTCTTATGCCAAGAGCTCATGTCTCCAGGAATGTAAGCCCAAGAAGCAGGGGTAGGAGCAGCAGAAAGCAGCCTGCAAAACCACTGGAAAGAATCCAGACCGCAAACCCGGAATACCCCCATGGGTTCTCCAGATGCCTGTGCTAAGCATCCTTGTTTGATCAGTAACAAAACCATGGGTCAGGGAGTGAAAAGGCCCATCCAGAGCCCACATATAAGTGTCTAGCCAGGGACGCCATGATGACCTGCTCCAGCCTCCACCTGCCTTTCATCTCTGCATCTTGATTGCACACCTCAATCCTCAGCTTTGCAGAGGTGTTATAATGCCCCCAAGACTCCTGCCAGGTTCACCCGAGGCCTAGGCCCCGCCCTCCCTCTCAGAGGACCACATCTTATATTTGCACGTGGGTGAGTTCAGGGGTTGGGATGGGAGCTCGGCAGAGATGAGCCCTGGTCCATGGTAGAAGCTCACATAGGAAACCCAGATTTCCCACTCAGAACCCCAGACCTTCCCACACCAGCTGTGTCCCTGACTCAATAACCTGGTGCAGCACTGAAATCCACAACCAAGGGCAAGGGGTTCATCTGCATAGCTCAGCTCCTCAGCTCCTAAGATTCCGCCATCTCAAGCTTTCTAAACACTGGTTCCATAGGGACATGTGCCAACCGATGCTCATGTTCCTGGCTATTTCAAGAAAAAATAAATAAATAAAGGCCCTTCTGATTCTTCAAACAGACACAAAACTGAGCCACCGAATTTCCCCTGGCCTAGAGTCTCACATAAGACTCTCAATCCACAGGAGCCACACACTGAACCATCCATCCTCAAAGTGGCACCACTCAAGACATAGAGCACTTGCCTAATCAAGAAGGTCCTGAGTTCAAGCCTCAATACCACCAAGAGAAAGACAAAGTAAGTAAGGAAGTGAGCAAGTGCCAGGGGCCTATCACTTCTATAAACCGCCTAGATTGACCTCAGACATCCATCTCAGCTTTCCTGAAGCCTACTTACTTTCTGGGTACCCCTGGCCCACCTGTAGGCATGAGGTGTGGTAAAGGCTGGCTGAACTGCACCTTGTGCCAGCCTTTACCAGCCTCCTGAAGGCCCAATTCTTCATCTGTTCTGTCCGCTTAGGTCACTATGTAGAAGGTGGCTGGCCAAACTCATTTCAGCATTTAATCCAGGAGAGAAAGCAGTGTCCAGCTAAGATTCACTGGCTCCCTTCTACGGTGCTTTAGGAATTATGTGTCCCTCCCAGCTCCTGGTTCATCTCAGCCATTAGAAAGCTGGGATTCAAGTTCACTACTCTGCCAGACTGCACAGCTGAAGTGTGCACTCGCTCCGTTCCTATGGCCAACCCTCCTATTGTTGTAGGCACGGGTTTATTTCAAATCGCCTCAGTCTGTGTGTGTCTACGGTGTGTTTTTTTAAGTAAGCAAAAGAGAAAGCCCACTGTCTTCACAGGGCTTTCCCTGAGCCCTGCAGCTAGCTCTGTGCTCAGTCCTTTCTCTGAGCTCCAGCAGAGCTTGTTTTCCAAACCAAACAAACAGAGGCTCCCTTTCTATGTACACACAGGCCCAGCTCTCCCCAGCTAAAAAGACGCTGCCTCCATCCCACATCCCTCTTCAGCCCCGGACCCCAGCTCTGATTCCTTCTGAAGACAGTGGTTTGAACCCAGTGCCTCTCCTCTGCCTCCCCACCAGGCCTAAGCCTACAGAAATCAGCTTTCAACACACACAGACACTCTCTCTCTCTCCTCTCTCTCTCTCTCTCTCTCTCTCTCTCTCTCCAGCTTTGCTTTCTCCCTTCCACTGAATTCTCTTCTCTTCTGGTTTCTTGGCCAGTCTTCTAGTCTCTCAAGCTTTCTGACCACCTGTTCCACTTCCTTCATCCTTCCCTATGAAATCTTCATGATTCCAGCAGAGTCCAGCCCTTGCCCCCCATATTGTGACAGTCACCTGACTGCTGACATCACCCAAAGCAGCAGGCACTGCCAACCTAGCCCCCACCATGGGTGCCACCTACCTTCCCTACAACAGCATACACTGTGATGACTTTAAGCACCAGTGATAGCAAAACGTCCCTAAATCCATCCTTTCTCTCCGGCTTCTCTTGAGTTCAGCTTCCTAGGCTAAATGCCCCCAGATACTGCCAAAGAGGCATCGATGGTCCCCCTCCCCAGCTACCTCAAATGCTATGTGTCCATCACCATCTTCCACTATAGGCTCCATCACCCATAATCACTTAACTAGGAAACATGGCGGTCACTACTCACTCAACTCTTGTCTATGGAGTGCTCACCATGGGCCAGGCTCCATGTCCAAGAAGAGATGTGGAATAAACAAAATGCAAATGGTTCTTGCCTCCAGGGAACTTCAGCCAATCACGCATCCAGTAAAACCTATTTACTACTCTTCTCTGAAACAATCCCCTTCCCCCCACTTCCTCAGCTGCTACGTTACCTGAGAGCAGTATACCATAGTAGCCACACACAAAAATAAATAAATAAAAGAAGGCTGGGCACTCATGGATCACACCTGTAATCCTAGCTCGGGAAGCTGAGATCTGAGGATCAGAATTCAAAGCCAACCAGGGAATAAATACCAAAAACACTTAAAGTGGAGCTGTAGCAGTAGCTTTGAGCCAAGAAAGCTCAGAGACAGTGCCCAGGTCCTGAGTTCAAGCCCCAGGACTGGCACCAAAAGAAATACAGGAAAGAAGAAAGGAAGAGAGGGAGGGAGATAGGGAAGAAGGGAGGGGGAAAAAGCAGTATCACTTGAATCCCAACTCCAAAATATGTGCCCTGTATGATCTAAATCTATTCCCCTCACTTGATAAAGATAATAATACTGACTTTATCGATTTGGTGTAGGATTCAATGAGACAAGAAGGCTTTAAACAATGCTCAGAACCCAGCTGACGACCTGTAAACACCTGTAACTATGGCGCTCCTCATTTGTCCAGCAGCCTCACTGCCCAGACTCTCACTAAGCACACCCACCCCACATTGAACCCTGCAAGCCCAGCCTCTCTGCCTCTATCTAGCTTTTCCTGGTCTTTTTTTCTCATTTTCCTAGACTCAGAGGCTCAAGGATCCCACCCTGGGACCAACAGGCTCAGGCCGATGCCCCTCAGCCTGGTGTCCCCACCTCATCCCATTGACTGGAACCAGTTCTTCTCTCCCTATTTCCTTCCTGTAGGGGGTGTTCTATGGAGAACATGGGGTTTATCTCCAAATGACCAAATCTTACTTGCACCAAGAGGACAACACAAGAATTATAAAGAGGCAAATTTCAATTCAACAAATTTCAATAACAACAACAAAAAAAATGCTTTCAGACAATTAGGTGATGCATCTACAAAGCATTTACTATACACCAAGCTCTGTGCTGAACTCTGGACATGTGTTCTCTCATGCTCACAATAAGTCTGCCATGTGGGTATTTGTATTCCTATGTCAGGAGGATGGATGCAAGCTCAGGAAACCTTTCAAACTGGTTCAAAGTCACATCACTAAAATAAGTTGTAAATACAGCATTTGAAACAAGCCTCGTCAGACTACAGAATCCATTCTCAGCCAACACTAGCCTAGCCAGTTCTCAGTCTTCAGCAAGCTAGCTCTTGGCACTACAAAAAGTACCTTCTTCCTCTGAAGGAAGTTAGGCAGGACTTTCGTTAGAAAGAATATCAAATTATCTAGAGTCCTTCTTCTTCCAAGACTCTAGGAGTTAGTGATTTTTAATTATAAGCTCCTCGGAGATTCATCTTGACTTCCTGTGAGGTACTTGGCATAATGCTGGGTAGAATGAGCCAACAATAAACACAAGTAGGGACAGAGGAAGGAGGGAAGGAGACAAGGTAGGAAGGGGGGAAGGAGGATTGGAGGGAAGAAGGGAAGGAAAGGTAAATGAATTCATAAATGGGCAGAAAAACAGATGATTAGATGGATATAGATGGATGGACAAATAAAGGAATGAAATGAATGAGTGACAGATGACGTAGCACCTGTGCTGGGCTCAACGTAATCCAGAGAGCTCCAGGGAACTGAGAGAAGGGCTAACACCAGCCACACCACACCCACAGGTGCAGCCTCTTACCGGCACAGGTGGTCAGTGCGGCAGAGGCTGCGCAGGTCCAGGCAGTTGGGCTTCTCCTTGTCCTCGTAGGAGCAGCTGGGCAGGATGGTCTGCCGGCGGCGCTCAGCACAGGCCTGGTCCTGGCAGGAGCAGAAGAGCATGCGGTAGGTGTACTCGCTGGGCACCCGGTCGAAGAACTGGCGCAAGGCCTTGTGGCACTTGCGGCGGTTGCAGCGCTCGGTGGGCATGATCTCTCGGTTGCAGATGGAGATGTAGGACGAACGCAGTTTCTTGCAGTTGTCGTTCAAGTTGCAGGCCTTGGCGGCATCCAGGCAGTGGTTACTCTTGGCACTGACCACCGGGTCTACCCCTGTCCCTAGAAGAAAAAGGACAGTGCAGGTCAGAGGCCCAGCCAGGCGCAGGGGACATGGGTGCCTGAGATCAGTATGCTTCCACATGACTGCTCTTTGACTCCGTCTCCCGTCTGTGGAGCAGGGCTTGCTTCCTGGGACCCTGGCTCCTGAGGTTGGGGTGAGAATTATGGAATCAACACACAGGTCCATCAAGAAAGTCCTCAGGACTCTGCCAGACACAGAGTGAGCAGCATGCAGTTAGGATAGTGAATGTTCACTCATCACAAGGCTAAAAGGCATGCAACCCAGTGTGTGCCCTGTTTACAAATCCAGGAAATAAGTGCTAGACACCGTAGCCCAACCAGTCACCCTACCTCTTTGGAAAGAGATTGGGAGGATTATGGTCAGAGGCCAACTGAGGATTTAAACACACACACACACACACACACACACACAGACGGACAGACAGACAGACAGACAGACAGAGAGGAGTTCAAGATACCTCCATTTCAACAATCTGGGTGTGGTGGAACATATCCACGATCCCAACTACATGGTAGGAGGTGTAAGCAGGAGGATTGTGGTCTGTGGCCAGCCCAAGGCAAAAACAGAGACCCTCCCAGAAAAATAACTGAAGCGAAAAAAATTGGCTAAAGGCCTAGCTTAAGTAATAGAGCACCTGTCTAGCAAGCACAAGTTCCGACCATTCACAAGAAAAGTAAATGCAGCAAATTACATGACTGACTTAAGGTCACAAAACCAGAGCCCCAGAGACTTCCCTCCCTCCAACAGCCCATCTAGCAGACCTTCAGTTTATAGAGGACCCCTCCAAATAGGAATCCCTGGGCTGGGAGACTTGCAATTGTCAGGTCAGAGCTGTCTCCAGCATGGACCTTAAGAGCTAACCACATAACCCATTAATGGGCAGATAGATGTGTTTCAACTTGGAAATCTTGTGCCTCTGACCAACAAGTAGAATGTCAAGGGCACACCACAGGAGTGGCTCTGCTTCCGTGCAGTGACTTCCCACGGTCAGGGCTAGCTGTTCCAGGAAGACACACATCACAGAGGCAACCTGACCACCGCCACCAGCCAATTCCCACCTTGCCACGTTTCTCCTCTGGCCCGATGGCAGGCAGAGGAAGCTGACACACACACCTCCCTGAGATACCAGTGGACAAGGCAGAAGCCTCTTCACGTTACAGATGAAGAAACTGAGGTGAAAGTGTGCAAGGGAACCCACACACACACAGTCACCCAGCACACTAGCAAGAACCTGACCACCCAGCACAGAGGTATGCCAGGGACAGCGAGCGGACAAGCCAGGGCCTTGCTTTTCATCTCTATCCATCCCCCCAGAGTTTTTTGGTCTTTCTGGAGCCCCTTCCTCCATGCAAGCTCCTGTTCAGGGTAAGGAGGACATGGGACAGGCCAGTGAAGGCCATGCTCTCCTCATGGCAAGCCTGATGTCTGAGCATGTGCAGCATGCAGTTCCTGGTATTCTGGTCACCTGATTGTTAAAGGGTCTCTCAAGCCCCACCTCTACACAGATCTCTGCTAGATGCTGTGTGGACATCATGATCAGAGGAAGCCAAAGCCTTGCAGAGCCAAGTAAGCCTGGAAAAGCCAAGCACCCTGGCTAGGAAACCAAGGAGCACAAATTCACAGTCACTAGGACTGGGTCTTCAAGAAATAAGCCATCAACCTTCACCTTCTGGCACAGCTACTTATCCATTATGTTACCTTGAGCCAATGACTAAAACCTTCCTCCCTTTCCTTGTCTGCAAGACAGTGGCTACTGTTAAGATCATGACGCATGAATGAGCTCACCTATTATCTGCTCACTAAAACACTTTCATTGGCTATTACACTTCCCATCAGAAAAAGAAAAGAAAAAAAAAGGCTAAGCTCATGTCTGTAATCCTAGTTACTCAGGAGGATGAGATCAGGAGGACTGCAGTTTAAGGCCAGCCCAGATGGTGTACATTTCTATTCCCAGCTACATAAGACACACAGGGAGGGAAGAAAATCGCAGTCCCATTTGACCCAGGCACACAAACATGAGACCCTATTCCAAAAAATAACAACAACTCAAGCAAAAAGGTTAGAGGAATGGCTCCAGTAGTAAAGAACCTGCAGAGCAAGTACGCAGGCCCCGAGTTCAAACTCTTGCACCACCAAAAAGAAGAGAGTTTTCCTCATGATCACATACACCCCCTTAAGCAACCCATTTTTCTGCACCTTTTTCTGCCGCTTATACTAGCTGTGGTTTGCTCTCCTCGCTTTCTCTCTTCGGCCCACCTCAGATTAATGTCTTCCTCCCCTCACCACCCATGGATGGTCGGAAGCCCTCGGGCCTCATCGCCCCCAAGTCCATCATCAGGACACAGAGAACGACACTCTCCTACCTAAACCCCCTGCTCCTTTGCCTTCTGTTCTCTGCTGATCTCCCTGACACCTCTCTGCTCAGCCTGCTTTGCTGATTCCTGTCTTCTGCCCAGGGCTTGGCCCTCCCTTCCATGCACATGCTCCCTGGGGCTCTCCTACGGCTCTCCTACACCATCAATCAATGTTCACCTCCCCAGCTGAGATGTTGCCTCTGAATCCCAGTCTCATCTGTCCAACTCTGCCTGAAACCTCAATACTCACATCTCACACCCTAACCCCCAAAGGCGACACTCCCTGCCAACAGTTACTTTATTCTATCACAGTTACACCCTTCTAGGAGCTCAAGCGAAAGTTCTAGTTGCCCTCAACTCCTCTCTTCCCCACTCCACCCTGGGAAAGTCCAGAGGTTCTACCTCTGAAATGCATGCAGAATCCACCACGTGGTCCAAACTACACCATTCTATGCCTGGGCCCCTGTTCCACGCTCTGCCCCTTATCAGGCAACTGGAATGAACCTTCTAGAACCCAAGGCAGAGATCATTCCTGACACAAAGCATCCTGTGTCATTTCTCTGTGTCACTCAGCAGTGTTCACAAGACATGCCAGGCTCTATGCTGATGGCTGTCCAATATGACAGCTACCAGACACGTGTGGCCGCTGAACTTGAAATGCAGCTAGCACATTTTAATACATACAAGATTTTGAAATACACACCAGAGTCCAAATACTTAAGAAACTGAAAATCTATTACTTTGACTACATGTTGAAGGGAAAACAGTTTGACTATGGTGTTAAAGTATCAACATTTTTTAACTCTTTCTTCATGGCTGTACTAGGGATTGAAGTCAGGATCTTGTACTGGCTAGGCAAGCCACCTACCACTGACGGCAGCGCTGCTCGCTCTCATGTGCTTTTAGTTCAGATGAGTCTCTCACTTTTGCTCAGGAAAAGCTTTGGGCTGGCATCCTCCTCCCTCTGCCTTCCACCTACCTGGGATTATAGCTGTGCATCTCCACGCCCAGCATGGTTATTTGGGGATTGGGTCTCCATTTTTTGCCCCATCTGACGTTGAGCTGTAGACCTTTCATCTCTATCTTCTGCAAAGGATTTTTAGCTTTTGATGTGAATACCAAAGCATTTATTATCTCACATCTGTGCATGTAGAATTCCACACCCATGGCATATGTTATGTTTCCTTGAGCCAGCACTGCTGTATGCGGCTTTACCCCGCACTCCTTCCTCCTGACCACTCGATTTCAATATTAACCTTTATGACAGCCTTGGGGATTTTGTAGTTCTTCATTCGAGTCAAGTCTGTACTCAAATGTTATCCATGAATCCTTCCTGAGTACTTTGGGCATAGTAACAGTCCCTTCGCTCCATTTAACCCCTACTGGGACCTATTTTTCCTATAATAAGGGTAGCCATGGTGCATAGTAACTCTTTGTTTGTTTGTATCAAATCTAAGTTCTGCAAAGGGTCAGGACAGCCCCTGAGTTCCAAGGGCTCAGTGTCTGATACATAGTTGCTATTCAAATATTAGATGAATGAAAGAATATATGTACTTAGAACAATAGTATTCCAAAATGTTACTAGTACTACTAAGGAACAGAAGTGACAGAGAGCAGGAAATAGTGGTCAAAACAAGACCGGGAACAAACAAGTATTAAGGTAGGGCCCAGGCAGAAGGTCCTCAGAAGTGAGAGCTGAGGGACCATCAATGAAGGCAGAGCCAACACCATAACAGCTAGTTCCACACCCAGCCTGTGAAGGGAGAAAGAGAAAAGTTCTCCACCCCCTTTCTCCCTCCCACTTCTCTCTCTCTCCCTCTCCTCCCTCTCTCTTCTCTCTCCTGGTACTAAGGGTTTAAAACTCAGGCCCTCGCATTTGCTAACTTCCTAAGTAGGTGCTCTAACAATTGAGGTACTCCACCAGCCCCTTTTTGTGTCCGTTATTTCCAATAGGTTCTTGCTTTATGCCGGGCCAGGCTGGACTACAGTCCTCCTATTTGGGCTTGTCTTTGTCACTGGCATGACAAGCACATGCCATGTTGCACATCTACTGGTTAAGAAGGAGTCTTGAGAACTTTTCCCCAATCTCTACCTCCCAAGTACCTAGGATTATTTGAGCCATCATTCCCAGCTCAGGTTCCCTCTCTCTTTGTTGTAAAAATAAAAGCCTAGGGATGCATTCAGACAAGAGAATATCATTCTGTGATTAAAATGGAAATGAGCCATCAAGCTGTCAAAAGGCATGGAGGGACTGCGCATGAAAGAAACTATACATGAGATCCCAGTTACATGACATTTTGGAGAGGAGAAAACAGTAGAGACAGTGAAGAGGTCTGTAATTGGCAGGGCAGGGCAGGGCAGGGCAGAGGGAGTAGGTGGAGCACAGAGCTTGCTAAGGGCGGTGGGGCTATTCTCCATGACACTTACATGGTAGAGGCCCATCATTACACAAATGTCCAAACCCACTGAATGAACAAGAGCAAAGGCAGTCCATGATGTCACTAGCGACTCAGGCAGCAAAGGCAGGCCAGAGCTCTGATGGCCAGAGCCTTGGTTCTAACAAATACACCCTTCCATGTTGGGAGTACACGAGGTATGGGAGCACACAGGAGCCTCAATTTTCC